AGAAGTGTAGAATATTGCCTCTTATCGTGAACATTTTAAAATATTTTTCTCCATTACCATGTGTTTTGGCATTCAGAAACGTATATAATGTTGTTTTACTTGCTTATTGGGTTAACAACAACAAAAATAAAAATAATATTTCACAAAACAAACTTATTATTTTGTTTTTTCAACGGTGATAAAAATTAAATAAAACCAAATAGGCAGGGTTGCTAGGGATCTGAGATGGCATACAAGAGTTTCAAATAGCATCATGCCCAAAAATTGAAACTACTTCTCACCAGGGATGTTTTGCGTATGGACACTTGAGAGAATCTGGTCTTCCGGGAGGTTATAATCGTCAAAACGACTGAATTTGGGCATTACAGAACCCTGGTCCATTAGCGTCCAGATCAATGTGTGGTTGGATGCTTCTAGGGCATCATGTTATTAAACATTTTTTCATCGAATCTGGATTGAATGCTCAGAAGTACAACAATATCCTAGCTCAATAAATACTTTTTGTAATTCGAAGGACGTGGCATCCGCAGCAGGTCTTTTATATGCAGGACAGAGTCTCCAGCCATACAGCTCGCATAAATGTTGCTTATTTGAATGAGGATTTTCCACAGCGTTAGACTGGAAAGTTTGAACTGTGATATTTTTCTTTGGGGATTTCTTCATGACCGTCTGTATTCGAACAATACCAGCTATGAAACAGGCAATCTAACAATATTGCTTTCAGATTTCACCTCAAATGCTGATTAACACGCGTAGGAGTTTTGAAGATCGACTTACTTATTTCAAGCAATTCTTGTAAATAGTGCAATAATTCTCCACATTTGTACAAAATATTGTACAAATGAGGTAACGGAATACCGTTACTTCATTCATTACCTATTGTTGTTAAGTTTTGTTCTTTGTCGTTGTCTAATTGGTTTGTTAAAAGGTTCTTTTCAAAACCGCCAGTTTTTCATCTAATCGCAGTAGAACATAGCATTTTAATGAGATTTTAGTGATAAAAATTCACTAATAATACTACAGGCAGTTGCAAAATTACCTTGCAATGTGTGCATTTATTCCGTTTAAATTATCATCACAGTGTTAAATAATTCAATTTGAGTTATTCAGTGATTACTGAGTGAAGTAGCGCGAGTAAATCCCTAGCTTGACGGATCCCCAAGACGTGTCACGATGCTGCCGTTGGAGATGTTGAAGAAGAGCTGTTCGAAGGGCTTCATCTCGGACTTCTAGGATACGGCCTGTGTGTGGTCGAAGATGGCTCATTCGACGAAGTCGCCCAATACGATCAGGAGTTTCGCGGAGAGATTCATGTGCTGCACCCATCACCAATAAATGAATCAATTTGTGCATTTATTTCGTTTAATTTGTCCTACAATAATCATCACATTGGACAAAATAATTCAGTTTGAGTTGTTCACTGCTTTCTGAGTAAGAATCGAGGAATTATTTTTAAATTCACTTTGACATCGCTGATTTCAAAATACAATTTTTAAAGCCTTTTTACAGTGAATAGGCGCGATGCGACGAGTTGAAAAAATACTGGCCGATAACCCTTCTTTATCTCCACAAATGCATCACTAATAACAGCTTTAAAGTGATCTATGGAGATATTATAAAATAAAAATCTATTCCCCATGTTAATTCCCTATTGAAAAATAATTTTTGAACTTTTGACGAAAAAAGGCATTAATGTATTAAAGGAAAAACAAAAAATCTGCTGTACACCTTCTAATTATAGACAACGTCGATACCCCAAGCGTGATACTAACAATTTACAGCTAATTGTTTCTAATCATATGGGTTGGATCGACGCAAATTATTTCAGTAAACATAACTTCCGTCAACACATCGACTAAGTGGACAATAACATGTCCAATTTACAGAGGAGCCATCATAAAAGAGAACTAATTAATCACGTTTCAAGTTCGACCGTCGATGGCGCAGTCGCATTTGGTAAATTGAAGGCTTTTAATACAAAGGACTATAATGCGGTGGAATTAATTTTATTTATTTTGTTTCACTCCAAATCAAATCAGCAAAACTTTTACTGGAAATCATTTCCACTTTGTTTAACGTTTGTTGCAAAAAATAATAAAGAGCTTTCTTTTTCGTTTACATTTGGAAAAGTAAAAAAAGCTACAACTACTACGTGAATTTAACCCTGAATGAACATGTTTTTTCCTTGTGTTTTGACTGCAAGCTCAGTGTTGTTTACCTTTGTGACTATTTAAAAATTTGTAAATTTCATACTTTATTTCTTTTCATTTTCATTTAAAAAAAAAAACAGGTTTGTGTTTAAGAAACTAGTTTTACAGTACCTGCATTGTATCTATTTTTCTAGCATTGTACGATGATTAATGAAAGAATAGATCAAAGGTGATAACAACATATATAACAATGTATCAGTGAGACGTGAACCACTTTCCAAGTAGAAAATAAGAATTTATTGTTCCGCCTTAAAGAAAAAGAGCTTGCTGCCCTGTCACCAATTCATTTTACCAACGACTTTTTCACGCAACAACATCCCAACGTGCTTTAATATTCAGGAGATTCCTCTAGTTTCTTTCTCCCAGATGTCTGTCAATGTCCTCGACATCGCGCAACAAACTTCACGTATAAATCACTGAAATATTAACGAGTCGTCTCGCAAAAGTACTTTTGCAATTTTCAACAAGTTCGCTGTTCATTTTCCTAAAACAGTGTCACTTTTTGTAACTTTATTAATTAATGCTCTTCCAAACGATTTCTTGTTTCTTGTTTTAATGGTGATTAAAACTAACAAATTTAAACGTTAATAGTGACGTCGATATATTGTTATAGATGACGCAAGTTATGAACTTCGTTACAGTGTTTTCGTAACAACACGCATGTTTGCAAACCTGGGGTAAGGGTAACACAAGATATACACTATACGTGACTGTAAACAATAAACAGAGCCGATATTAAAATTCATTTTATATTAAAAACCTGCGATCGATAATACTGGAGTGTTCATACTTTAAAACTGTAGATAGTCTGAGTTTGCTGCTGCGAGTTAATTTCATTTATCATTCATATATGCAATAAAATTTTTTCTTCCTTCATGTAACTTTTATACAGCAGGCGTATGTGCTTGTCCTCATTTTTATCTTTCTTACGATTCTCTAGACCTTAATCAGAGAAATAAAAGATACCACCCTGCATTACATTTATTGCATGAATAAGTAACGTATTTCTCTCTCTTTAGTACTGTGGTGTAATCTTAGGAAAACATTTTTGAAATAAAAATACAAGTGGTCAGAATTAGCATAAGAATTATAACTTTTCCAGGATGCGCCCATTTTCTTGAATTATATTAGAAAATTCTCCAGACAAAGACATTTAGATTCTAAATGATGATTTTAAAATTAAAAGTATTTTTCGTACAGAATGCATTTAATTCACCAAATGAATTTGGAACATTAGACGTGCAGTTCTTAACAACGTCCCATCAAAGTTATCCGTCATTTATTTATCCCCCTGTAGACTATTTTGTGGTAGGTAGTTATAAAGTCAGTATGCGTGGGTATAGTGAAAGTAAAAATAACGAATATTCTGATTTACTTAGAAACGTTCCTACAATTCAAAAGTATTTAAAAGCACCCCAAAAACTATTCAGAATGACATTTCAGATGCTATATATATGCTATTGATTTGAGATTTTGGGATTTTTAGTTCCTGAGCGTAAGCTAAGGAAATATTAAAATAGATTCCATCGGGCGACTAGCTCCTTTCATGTTCTCTCGACGTTTTATGACCCCTAGAGTACGCCAAAAGTGGTCTTCCGTTTCTATCTGTCTGTCTGTCGTGTGCCGATTTTTATTCGACAGATAATCTCCGAAACTACTACAATTGTTGTCAAATCATCCCCATCAACAATTTGATGACGTCACGTCACAATTTTGCATAACATAACAAACTCCTGTACTTGTGGTTTATGAATTGGCCGTGATATTTTGCCATAGGTATCTAGATTTTCTTCTAGTAGTAGTAAGTGTTTATTTTTACCCTACGGGCTTAAAAGATTCTTGATTTACAACCTACAATTTTTTCCTAATTAACAAAAACCAAATAAAACATATCAAAAACCAAATAACTCATTTTTTTTCCTTTATCCCATCCCCCCTTGCCCCAGCCTTACTCTTGTCCTCTCCACTTCTTTCATCCATTCCACCCCTCTTCCGTCTTTATTCAATATCTCTGTCACACTCCCCTCTCTTTCTTTGCTCTCCTCACAGTCATGCAGCATGTGCTCTATCGTCTCTCGCCCTTCTCTACACATCCTACACATTCTCTCACCTTCGCTTACCCAAAACTTATTATTTCTTTCTTCATTTCCACACCTAAATCTCGCAATTATTTTTTTTCTTTCGCGCTTTCTCTGTCTAGGTACTTTGGTACTGTTTCTGTTATTATCTTTCTATAGTCTGCATTTTACCTAGATTTCCTTACACTCCCTCTTCTCTCTTGTTTATCTATGTCTCTGTCACGCATACATAACTCTTCTCTCATACTCACCCCCATTTCTCTTTTTCTCTCTATTTTTGTTTTCCTTCCAGCAATCATACAATATCCTACATTCCTCTCTTTCTTTCAAACTTTCATCATACTGTACAGCTCTTTTCCCAGTGTATTCAGTTCCTTTTTCTTTAAATTCCACTTCCAACATTTTTTTTTTATAATGCTCAATTTCTTTTTTATTCCACAATAGTCAACTGTCAACTTTAAGATGATAACGGTTTGACTCCAATAATTTCAGAAAGCAGCAAATAAATGGAAATATATAATAACAAAACGCCAACAAAACCTATTTCGAGACAAGCCGCAACTCCTTCAACAAAGAAAAAAGCCTGAGGGAATAGTAAAGTGTCCTTTTTTGACCAAAGCACTCTTCCAGAATCTAGAATCGTTAACTCTAGTACGGCGCTTGTCAACACACAAATTATATAATCACTTTTCATGGTACTTTTTTTTTTCAGGTACGCCACCTCCCATGCACGCCCAACTTACTGCAACGTCTGCAGAGAGGCCCTCAGTGGCGTCACCAGCCACGGCCTCTCCTGCGAGGTGTGCAAATGCAAAGTTCACAAAAGATGTGCAGCTAAGGCCATCAACAACTGCAAATGGACGACTCTGTCTTCGGTCGGGAAGGACATCGTCGAAGACTCCGACGGGGTAAGAGATTCAGCTACGAAAAAAGCGAAAACAAGATGAGATTTGCTAATCTTAACCTTGGTCTTTAGAGTTTTTGGTGTTGGTGCAGATTACCTCAGCTTTAAATAATAGTTAACGGCTTCCACCCCCTTTTAATTTATGAAATCCCTCCATAGCGAAGTAAATCTTGTCGGAACTAAACGAGGCTGACTCGACTGCACAAGTGTTATTAGTTTAGTGCTTTGAATTTTCAGAAGAATAATTATTATCAACGTAAACGCCTGGTCTTGAGGTTTGCAACCCAAGGCAGGCACGCCTATGAATTACTCCGCTATGTCCTCCCCTTGCTAATCAGAATCACTAATAATAAGCAGCCAAAGATTGTTTCGTTTTTTTCAAACTCTGTCAACAACTTTAAAAGCTTTGCTTTGAAGATTTACACTTTTCATTTTGAATTGACGTTCCAAGAAGTTCTAGTTATTTTTCAAATTTAAACCAACATTTCACCACGCAAAATATTCTCTTAAATTAGAGAGCGTTTTTACCCCGCTTTTTATTCTAAAAGACGCAAACTTAAATTGAAAAACGCTAAATATATACAAACTTAAAAGTCGCAAACTTGACGACGGAACAGAAATAATGTTTCTTTAAATTTGTAATTTGTATTTTAAATGGAAATAATTAAAAGCTAAACAGAAATTCTTTCAAAAGGAAACACAACTTCTTGAAATTTATTAACTTCCAAGACTTAAAAACATTTTGTGCAGTGTGTTAATAATTATTTCATGCATTAAATTTAACTAACATTTAAATAAACGCTCTCAAAAGAGAGACAAACGTTCCAGTATACTATTTTTAGCAATTGAAAATAATACGAGTTGTTTCTTTACAAGATATGTCTAATGTTATAAAACTTTGATGCGAAATTTTGTGTTTTCTTGTTAAAACCCAGAAATTTAGAGCAGCCTTTGTTAGTATTAAATTAGTATATGCCTACATGCTTGTAAATTGATAAAACTTAACCTTAATGATGGATTCTACCCTTAATTTCTACTTTAAATGTTCACTCATTTCAACCTCTAGTTTACCCAACATTTTTATTGAGATTAAGGTAATCACGCATTTAACCAGGCGTTTAGCGACGTCTGATTGCCGTAGAGTTGGTCACGTGGTACTTTAACGCCGTGTTAATAATTTAATCACAGTCAAATATTTAATGCAGCTTCTATAATATGTTATCTTTATCTAATGTTTGTCTAACCTGGAACAGCTGACCCAGCATATTTAGTACAATCACAAGGTGACTTCTGTTGACGGATCAGACCAACAAAAAAACAGAGATGAACTAATAAATCATAGAGATAGGTATATTGCACGCATTTTATTTTAAATAAGATTTAGTGAAATGACGTCATCAAATTTTTTTAGTGGCGTTAATCAAACACATTTTAATTGCCAATTTACCATTACTCGATATATTTGTAATAATCCAGAGGATTTATTGGGCAACAAAATTTATATTATGATAGAAATACTACAAATTGCGAAACATATCTCTTTAGAGCAACATAAATTCATAAATTGAATTTGCTTGTGAAATTTAATTCCACTCGGGAAAATGCTAGTGGGATACTTTTGATATGATAAAGGAATTAAAACGCCAAATTTAAGCATTATACATTGATACGACAAACTCAGTAGCCGCCACAATTTGTTCACATCAAGAATTTTATGAAGATAAGCAACAAGAAGCATTATTGTCTACAATTTAACAGAATCAACTCTTAAATTGTACGAGAATGAACTAGAAGATTATTATGAAAAATGTGTCAACATTTTTAAAGCCAAAGAATGGTGAAGGCGCCGGGATAATGAACAATAAATTATTTATTTTAGGAATGTTAGAGAAACTTTTGCAAAATCTGATGTACTTTGAAAGACTCATCCATTCTGTAAAAAATTAAAAAATAGGAATAGATATTAATCAACATAAAGTCATTCTTTTTAAGCAGATTTGACCAAACTTTTTTGTATCAGTGATTCAGTGTAAAACCAGCAACCTATTAAGCGACTGAATGTGTAGATTTTAAATCTTCCCAATATTTGGAAGATGAAAATGTGATATCCTTTTGGGAAACGCATGGGAATCCAGAATCCAATGACAGTGTGTATCCAGAAATCGAAATAAAATTCTGTATCAACTCAGAAGCTAGGTGTTTACTTGTTTTTTTTTTTTTTTGTTAATTCAACTGTGGCAATAATAAAAACAAGAGATTCTTTTGCTTGTCTAATCAATTGCAAAACTTGTTTTGGCAGAAATAAACAGTCAACAAGTATGGAGGCTGGTGAAAGCCAATTGAAAAGCACGCCGAATTAACGGTAGCTGCAATCCGGCTATCATGTCGAATTTACCCTAATCTCTGCTGCAGCATTCTCAATCCGATTTATTAGCTTGAACTGTATTTACAGAAGTTTCATAAACCAATAGTTTCAAATGTTTCCACAAGAAAAAATCGCATCGACTAAGGTCCAGAGAGGTGGCCATAACAATAGTTAATTCCTTCCTATCCTTTGTCTTGGAAAATGTTCGTCGAATCATCGCCTCAGTTCTCAAGCATTGTGCGCCATCTTGAAGATCCCACATATCTCGACGGATAGCTACAGACTTGATAAATATTCTGTCTAGCATTTTCTTTTTACTGTGATGTGTTTAATGTTTCTGAGGTCATTTTTCTCTACCGATCAATATTATATCATAATCAATTATGGATTTTTCATTACGATTTTTCACTTCTCTGGTGTGGTTCTTGTGTATGTGCTTCTGCTGGTACCAAGTTTTTGCGACATCAATCCAATCAAAATGCAAAAATCTATCATTTTTTATCCATTTATGTTCTTATCTTCCTCTCAAAATCTTGATCGTTGCTTCTATGCCATCGGAACGGTTCTCCACTCTTCAGTTCATGTCTCCTGTGACTACTGGCATATCCCTGTTGTTTTCTCGTTCTTCTTTTAACCTATTCTAGAACTCATCTTTCTCTTGTTTTTTATCTCCTTAATTTGGTCCCTAAACTATCAACAATCAAATTTTCCTTTATTTCTTTAATATATCCCCTGTTTACTACACATGTTACCCCGGACTGTGCCCATTTTTTATTTTCAACTCCGCGTTTTACCATCAGATGTCCTCCGTCATGATCTGGTTTTCCTCTTTCTTTCTTTCTTTCTTTCTTTTTTATTTCTGGAATTGGTAATATGTATATCCAGCTTCGTTCATCACTTCATTTACGTATTTCCGTTTATTTTTTTTCCGTTTGCTCCTCTTATATTCCATGTAATCCTTCGCCACATGTCACTTATTTCCTTACTAATTTTATTACTCCTTCCATTATCCTTACTTGTGTCCATATTCGTTGCCTGTTGCGTCACTTTGTCTTTGTTCTTATTTTTTCCTACTTGTTTTATAGCTTCCAAATTTTAGTTATTTTCCTTGTTTGATTTCGCAAGCTATCTACTTTTGGCGATCTATCATTTGTACTGTTAAAAATCTTTGATCTTCACCGTTCCGTCATTATCTTGCTTAGAATGGGTCTAACTATTTCTTCGTTCACTGTACTTTTATACTCATCTCTATTCATCTGTTTCAGTTCCCTCCTCAAAATCAACCTTCAATCCTTTCATGATTTCACTTATTTTTTTCTTTTGTTTCATAATCCTCACTTTTTTGCTCTTTGATTCCCTTCACTATAATATCCTTTTTCTTTATCTCCCTTTCCAACATTTCTATTCTGTCCTCCTATTTTACCACCTGTTCTTTTACTTCATACTTATACACCTCCATTACATTCATTGTCTATACATGATCAGAATGCTCGTGGAATAAACTCAAAATTAACGGAACTTTGTAATTATTCTTTATCTTCGTGCAACTGCGATATCATTTGTCTCTCTGAGACTTAACTTAGTGAATCTGGTATCAACTCTAGGTTTAGACCTAACAGCTACGAGTCTTTAGATGGGACAGAAAATATGATAACAGATTTCCATAGACGCTGGAGTTATAATTGCCTTGAGACAAGAGCTTTCTGTTACTCACCTTGATTTGTCGTCTAAAGGATTTGATAGTTTACTTAACATCAATTGACATCGTTGGTGAAAAATTTTATTCTGACTACTTTTCTTTAAGATTTTGCAAATCTTAAACAATTCAATAACGTGGGTAATTATAATAATAGACCTCTGGAGGACACTATTCTCTTGGAAGACACCCATTATCCCTCTCTATTAATTACCTGCATTATCGTATCCCAAAAGAAGGAATCATAGACAACCGTAATTATTCAATAAAGCAACTGAATTTTAGAAAAGCTGATTTTTCGAATCTATATGAACATTTAGTGAAAACTGATTGGTCGAGTCTTAACCTCGTTGATGATATCAACACCGTTTGTTACCTTTTTGATAATCAACCCAGTGCAGTGAAACCTCCTGTAACGGACACTTCCCAACAGCAAACAATTTTCACTGTCCCAACGTGATTTAATGTAAAGAATCCTCCAAACAACGGACATTCCCAACAACGGAGACGAACAGTAAATTTGGCGCATTTTTAGTTAATTTCTTTGTGAAAATTACCTCTTCAGAACGGACAGGTAACAGGTAAAGCGGTCCCGAGATCAAATCGTACAATAAAATTTAAAAGTTAGGCCAACAGATTCTCAGTACCAAGTCATAACTCTTTTCAACCCCACACTGCTCATAATACGGGTAAATATGGGTTTTTCCCAAATAGCAAAGCTGGGGTGGTTTTGTTTGTCAAGTGCGAATGAATTTATAAATCATTATTATTTGAGCGTTTACGTTTAACACGACCGCTAAGCAAACAAATTTTTAAGTATTAGTGAAAAAAATTGAAATTATCGACAATCCCGAGAAGTTTAAGTTAAGCATTTGGCGACTCTCAGAAAAATTCGCCGTTGGTATGTACATGTTAAAATGTAGTGATTTCTTTATTTCGTGCC